CTTTTCTGATGAAACCTTTGTGAAAGACTTCGTCCAACATTTATATATCTTTAAAACAACTTTTAGACGAAGACGCTAACTTCGCTTAACAGACTTATTACACTGAAAGTTTCATCTGCCACTTATCCTTAAACGAAACCATTTTGAAAAGAAAAATGTAAGAACTTCAATTAATATCTTTATAGAACATTTTCCCTAGTGGACAATAAATCCTTCATAAACATTGATAGTAAGTTAAGCAAGCTCTGCACAATCGTCTGATATTCAAAAGTGTAGTGGACGGAGAGTACTACTCTTGCGAAAATGTTTATAAAATACATTTGTTCACATACACAGATATTTGACCCCCCCCTTCTATGTGTTTTTCCACTAACCTCAGATGTGGGCTGTGATGATCTTACTATGTGGGGGAGCAGATTAGGTGTGAGGCTTTGGGATGGCAAGGAGTATTTTGCTAGTTGGTTTGAGAAGTGGCTAGACTTAGAGCTTGACCAATACCTAGGGTGTCTTATTTTGATGTCTTCTTGATGTTGTATCTATATTATCTTTTGGATGACTGTATAAACTTACTAATGATAACTCCTTTATAAAGTTATGTTTTATATGATGAAAACAATTTATACGTTTTAAAAATATTTCCACTCTAGTGTAGCTGGCATTTGCTCTCTTTTCTTTATTTTATATTATTCTTATGTGTTGTTTAGTTGGTTGTTGATGTGGTGACCTAAGGTGGGTCGTTACAACCCTTGTCGGGCATAAAAGCTCTAGGGTTTTCCTGTGACGCTTCCTTCAAGAGTGAGCTAACTCATGCTAGGCATGGACACTTTAAAGAGCTCTTAGTGATATTTTTGTCAAGCGTGAGCTCAATCACGTTGAGCGCAACCCATACAAAGACCATCGTGGTCCTTTGAAGGTATCACGCCAGGCCCAAGGAGGGTTCCATTGGGCGCCATCCCACCTACAAACCCTCTATTGTGCTTATATTGAACTCCATGTTATGATTATGTCTTATGGTGTTAATATGGATATGAGTTGATATCGATATATGAATGTATGAACATGAATGATGAGTAATCTTATATGTGAAGTGTGTTAAATGTGAAACTATGGAATCATGTGAATAATGTATTGCATTGAGTCTGTTTAGCATGTATCATTTGTATGAAAGTGTTTTTTTGGGATACGATATGAAATACATCGTGAGGGAAAGTCCATTGTGTAAAAACTTGGGAACCAACTTTGGAGATAGCTTAATTTGGAAGTTTCTGTCCTACCCTCGTGCGCATGTGATGTATTTTGCATGGCTTATCTCTCGATCAGACCTTGATAATAAGTTCTTCTAATGAGTGTGCACAGTGACAGATCCAGAAAATTTGTTAAGTGGAGACAATAAAATTTTTTATATCACTTTTATTAAAAATATAATAATTTTTTAGAAAATATATTTTTATGGTAAAATATTTAAAATATCTTATTTTTATAAATTATGGTTATCTGATAAATAGAGTAACAATTTTCTTTTTTCTCTTTCTTTCTGAGATTATATTTAAGTGTAATTTTATAATTCTTTTGTGACTTTTTTTCTTTTTGGTAAGGATAGGAAAGATTATAAAGATGGTCACAATGAGGATTGACTTATTTAAGATTAGAGGAATAAAATGGTAAAAATTAATAGGATAAAAATAATAAAATTTGTAATTTATTTTCTTTTAGTGTCTTCTAAATTTATACACTCATTTAAAATCAAAAATATTTTATGAGTGCAATGTCTATTTTTTTTATAAGAGTAAATTTCTTTATTTAAATGTGTAACATGTGATAATTCTCACCTGATAACTAGCGCTTAACAAAATATGTTTTAAGTTATAAAAAAAACTGTGTAGCAATTATTATGATTTTTAAGTTAAAACAAAAATAGTGTGACAATTTCTCTTATTCCTCTTAATGTGAATCCTCTCTTATCAACACACAATATACATACATGATCAAAGAGTTAAAAAGAAATATAATTAAAATAAAAAATTAAATTAGTAAATTAAATAATGACATCTTGAATGTGTAAAGAAGTAATAAATCTTTTAGTGAAAAAATACTGTATATTATAATAATAAAAAAATGAGAAGGGATCTACTTATTCCAAGAGTAAATTTTGATAGGCTTGCTCCACTTAATAGTTTATGTTCTACATCAAGTATTTAATTGTCTTTAATGTATAGATCAAATTTATAAAATTTAAAAAAAAAATATTTGATACTCTATTTCATTCATTTAAATTGATGGATAATAAAAAAAATATTTTAATCATCTACCGAAGTATCATATGATTTGTAATTTTTTTAAAAATTTGTAAACTTGATATATAAGTTAAAAACTTTTAATTTAACAATTGAATTTTTAAAACTTTGATGTAAAGCATTAATTATTGAGTAGAATACATTAAGAACTTTTAATTTAACAATTAATTTTTTTAAAATTTAATATAGAGCATTAGTTATTAAGTAAGATAAGTCTATTAAAACTTGCGCTTCGAGTAAGTGAATTTTTTCCTCATAAAAATTAAGATAATTTTGTCACAACAATTAAATAATAAAATAAAATATATAAAAAATATTAATATATTTTATCATATTAAATATAATAAGATAATTAATAATATATATTTTATAAAATAATTAATATTTTATTAAAAAAATAAAGATTGAACAATATTTATGTGGGGGCAACTACCCCCGCTAATATACACATGGATCCGTCCCTGAGTGTGCACAGAGGGTGTGACTTGACATGTACTTTTAGACTACTTTACATGTATTGTTAACAGTAATGTGTTAGAAAAGAATGGCTCAATCCAAGAGGAGAGTGAATTGGATTCTATGACACTTTAAAAATTTTCAGAGTTCTTAGGATCTTTATTTCAATTCAAACTTTTCTAATATGAATTTTCAAAGAAGTTCCTTAAAGACTTGTTAATGAAGAATGAATCCTATATGCTTTCTTGATTAACCAATAATGAGATTCAAAGTTAAGAACAATTAATATGTAATACTTTGATTCAGTTTAAACCAATGTTGCATATACAAACATGTTAATCAAGAATAATCTCTTCAACATACAACCAAGATATTACACAAAGTAAAAGATAAGGGTAAGAGAAGATTGCACAAGTCTTTTATCCTGGTTCAGCCACTCCACATGTGACCTACATCCAATCCTCAATCATAACCTGATCAAGATTTGTTCCACTATCTTAATGAAGAAGTTTTACAAGCATACCACACATGCATACACTCCTACATTTAAGATAACCACTTTCTCGACCTCAAGAAAGCACCCCTTGTAGAAACCCACTACAAGAATTCCTTACCACTTGAGAAACCTACTCAAGATTTACAAATATTCACAAAGAATTAAAGGAACGAATTCACCTGGAATTCAGGAGCAAATCTTAATCTTTCTCTTTTCAAGAATGTGATGATGATGATGATCTTTTCTCAAAGCATTTCAAAAACGTTTTTCTTTTTGGTTTCACAAAGAAAACTCATCAAGAAGGTCACAAAGACTTCACAAACACGTTTATCACTCTGTTCAATCTTATTCTTCTCTTGTTCTGAAGTTTCAAAATGTGAAAACTATTTATAACATTTTCAGAACCAGATAATCGATTATTTTAAAGAATAATCGATTATTTTGTTCTTCATGATTTCTGGAAATCAACCAAGAACAATTTAATCGATTATTTTGAAGGATAATCGATTATTCCAAGGAGTGATGGGATAATCGATTATTTCACAAATAATTGATTATTGCAGCAAGGTATCCTTTTTACCTGTTGCTGGAATAATCGATTATATTTAATGATAATCGATTATTTTGAGTTAGTTTTCAAAACTTTGTTTTATGTCTCAAAATAACTTCTTAAGCTTCAAACTCATCATCATACTCACTCCTAATCAGATTAGATAAAGATTAGCTCATGCACAAAGCACACACATGAAAAAATAAGTTCATCAAAACAATACAATTTATAAGCTACTCCTATTACAACATGATAGTTATATTTTTCTTCTTGACTTTGTTTTTGACTTGCTGATGTCCTTGGTCAGCTTTGTTTCTCACTTTGTTATCATCAAAGCCTTCAATCTCCAGAGATGAGTTGCTTCACCACTATGAATCTCAACATAATGCGTAAGTGTGATATTTTTACTAGCACCACATACATGTTAACATATAGTTTATGTCCATTGTATAATGAATTTGAATCTTATTTGTTATTACTTATTATGCTATGAATGAACAATTGTGATGATCTTGTTTGTCTGTGTATGTTATACCTTATTGTATGTGTTGTTTGTACTTGATTAGCCAATTTACATTCTTGTACTATGAACTAGAGTGAAATGTTTCTCACTTCCTTTTCTGTGTTGTTCTTGTATTTTTTTTATAAGTGATCACCAATATGATGTTAAAGATGTAGATGATGAGATCTAGTCCTCAATGTTAATCACTTTGATAAGACATATGACATCAGAGAATAGTTATGATTAGTTTTAAGACTTTGTTTTGTTGATTCATATAGAGAATATCAATTTTTAATTTTTGTAAAATTCTTCAATCATATTATTCTAATTGTTTAAGAATATAATGTTATTTTCTACTTGTATAAATTTTGATTTCAATTATTATATTGAAATTATTCAATTTGATATTATTTATATATTATGACATAAAAAATAGGGAGTATGACAATTTTATTTACATTTTTATTTTGATTATAACATAATTTGTTTCAAGTTTTTCTTTTTCTTTTCTTATATATATATATATATATATTATTTATTTATTTATATTGAAAACCACGAAAATTGTTAGAGAAGTCGATTTCCTAGTGTTACGCAGTATCCGGAAGTTAAACATAACATCTCACATTCTCACTGAGGCCACGCCAAACGAAGCCCTGTCGTCATTAACCGATACTTAAAAAATAAAAGTAAACGCAGTCATGAGCCACACCAATCAAATTCACAAACATATTCACAATGACACCAACATAACAACAACTTCAACCACGAGAACAACAGCACTCAGCACTTGTACCTGAACCATCGACAGACATCTCGATCGACGTCGATTTGGATTCATTGGTGCATTTGGCTTTTCAACAATGAAATTCCCCTTTCGGGGTAAGAGACTCACGAGACTCACACCCGAAAGGCCAAAACAGAGAATTGAAACGAAACAATAAACAAGAAACAAGCAACAAGCAAATAATTAAATATCTCCCAGTCCAGACTTGAAACAAGAATTCACAAACAAACATATGCATACAGCCACAACGGAACGACAACTGAGTGTTGCAAAACGACAACACAACACGTCGAAGGGTTCAAGCAGGTGTCGGATTCTCGGCAGGAGAATTCCGCCAGACGATGTCTTTAAGCGCGGGACGAAGCTCGTTGCTGCAGAACTGGTTATACTCCAAGGTGTCACCATTGTCCTTCTTAACCTCCACCACCAAAAACGACGGCGTAACGGCGTACAAATCCGCAGCAATTGCCAGCTTCCCTTTCCGCCCCCGCTCCTGACCCTGCAACGTCACCTTCGTCTCACTCTTCTTCACGTCGAACTTCACCGCCTTCGCCACCTCCTCCAGTCGCGAAATCACGCTACTCGCGGGGCGCGTCGTCGCGAACCGAATCTCCTTCTCCTCCTTCTTCTTCTCCTCGAACAGCGGCGACAAATTGAACCCCTCCGAGAGCGAAATTATGTGAAAGGCGTTCATGGTGGACTCCTTCATGGAACTAGACTCCTCCGGGTCGAGTTTCAGTTCCCGTTCGTCTCTCCTGGGTCCCACCATGGGAACCGGTTTTTTAAACCAGGACGAGTCCATGACCTTGGAGATGGTGACTCGGGTATTCGGGTTCGGGTCGAGGAGCTTGGTGATGAGTCGGCGAGCGTCGGAAGAAAACCAGGGTGGGCACTTGAAGTCACCGCGGTAAATTTTCTTATACAAGGCCACCAAGTTGTCGTCTTGGAAGGGTAAAAAGCCGGCGAGGAGGACGTAGAGGATTACGCCGCAGGACCAAATATCGGCCTTGGCGCCGTCGTAGCCTTTTTTGCCGATGACCTCCGGCGCCACGTAGGCCGGCGTGCCGCACGTGGTGTGGAGGAGGCCGTCGTGGCGGAGGTGCTCCGAGAACGTGCTGAGACCGAAGTCGGTGACCTTGAGGTTGCCGTCCTCGTCGAGGAGGAGATTCTCCGGCTTGAGGTCGCGGTGGAAGACGCCGCGGCTGTGGCAGAAGTCGACGGCGGAGATGAGCTGCTGGAAGTAGAGCCTGGCGGTTTCCTCCCGGAGGCGGCCGCGGGCGATCTTGTTGAAAAGCTCGCCGCCGCGCACGAGCTCCATGGCGATGTAGATCTTGGACTTGCTGGCCATTACCTCGTGCAGTTGCACGATGTTCGGGTGCTTCACCATGTTCATCGCTGAGATCTCTCGCTTTATCTGCTCCATCATGCCTACCTTCATCACTTTCTCCTTCCCCACCACCTTCATCGCCACGCTCTTTCCGCTCTTCAGGTTCCGCGCGTGGTACACCTTCGCGAACGTCCCGTGGCCCAACAACCGGCCCAACTCGTACTTCCCGTGGAGCAGCGTCGTGTTAATCCCCTCGCCGCTGCCCCTTTTGCTTTTCTCACCCATCATCAAAATAATAACAAAAAAACAAAAAAACAAAAAAATACCCAAACAAACAATACTCTCTAGTCTTCACTACTAGCACTACGAATTACAATTTCCAAACGGGATTTTAACTTTACAGATTTCACGTTCACCCGTCTTCGACGTGCTTCCGGTGGCAATTTCTGCCGCCGATTCTGCGTTTGGCTTGGCCACCTATCTCAGTTCTCTTCAACCGAAAGCCTCTCATCTCTATTCATTCCCTGGTCCTGCCGGGACCAATAACCGCTCACAATTATTTTCTCTCGGTGCCTTCTTCCCTCTTCTTTCTCTCTGGTTCGGTACACCTCACCTCTTATTTATAACCTTTTTTTATCCCCGTTTTGTCCCTGGGCGAAACGACGTCGGACACGTGTCCCAATCGCGGAGCGGGATGTGGCACGTGTGAGACTCACTGTGGAAATGGTAGAAGGGGGTGTGGGGTGCAGTTCTTGAATGAGTGACACATGAGGGATTTAATTCAAACTTGTAAGGGTAGCGAATGAGGTGAGAATCTTATTGTTTGCAACAAAAACAAAGATGTGACATTGGTCCCCGCATGACAGCGATAACACCGCGGCACCACTCACATACTCTTTATTGTTAATCAATCATGCTACTAATACTCTCGATCTCCTTCAACTAATATACACTTCTTCTTGCTAAAGATTCTTGTAATCAAATTATAAGGAGGGGTGTTCATCGAATTCCCACATCCGTTTTTCTATTTATTGACACTTTCTAAATAAAATTGAGTTAGACTAGGTAACAACCAAACAGAACACATAAGTGATTGGTTAAAATGGCCGTGGACTTAAAATAGTTGGTGTATATAGTTTTAATTCTGACTTTTGTGTGTGAAAAATAAAATATAATTAGAAGAGGGTAGTTTACATCTGATTGTCCTCAAATATGTCAAGAGTGATTAATCTTAATAAACGAGTAAACTTATTCTTGAAGTTATGTGTATTAGGAAAAGAAAAATTGTGTAACAAGGAATACGTACTTCACGAAGTACTTTAGTAATTATGTTTGTTAAAAAAAAACAACTTAAATTAAGATTTTCTTGACTTTCTTCAAAGAAAGTGTGTAAACATGGTGTGAGTATAAATTCATACAAATACTTTTTTTTATTTATTAAAATGTTAAAGCATTTTAAAGAAAAGGCTAATTACTATTTTGAATTGTAATTATTGTTAAATAAGAACATATACTTTTAATTTGTAATGACTATTTTATTAACAGGGGAAAATGCTAGAAAACGGGAAATTTCCAATTTCATTCGGAGAAATTTATTTACTAAAGTGTCGTAACGAAGATAATTTAATTAAAATATATAAATGCTTCTTTTTTTTTAATATAATGAATCGAGTGAGTGATAAAGAATATTAAATATTTCATAAAAATTAATTACTTAAAATAAATATTAAACAATTTTGTCTCATAAATGCTTTTTATTTATGTCTTTTATATTTTTATAAAGTATTTTATTTTCTCTTACGATATTTATTATAAATATAATGATATTTTTTTTATAAAAAAAAACAAATACTTTGTTTTTTATTTTTATTTTTATAGTCCTTGTTGTGGACACACATTACATTTCCTTTTTTATTTAGATAAATATATTTAAGTATCATTTATTTATTATAATTAAGAGTTCTTTTTAATATAATTTGTTATTATTTCTTATATATCATGTTATAGATAGGAGTATCTATCTTAAGGTTTGAAAATTAATTACAATATCAATTAGATCAACAAACATTGGTTAATTTGTTATTATTTTAAAAGTAATAAAATGATTATACTTGTACTCAATTGATTTTATTACTTTTTTTGATTTTTTATTGATTTTATTTCTCTTTTCATTCATTGATTTATTGTAATTATTTTAATTTATAGACCTTTTATTATTAATCATTGCAAATGTTATAAACATATCAACATTATATAAGTGGTTGACACTAGTGATTTAAAACTCGGATCGAATTGGCCGGTCAAATCAGTTGGACCGTGAACTGGTGGTATAGTCGGTCTGAATCTTAAGTTGGATCGGTTATGCAGTTGACTCGTTTTAAACCGGATAGAACCGGTCAATTTTTCGGTTCAACTAGTAAATCGGTGGGTCAAATTGGTTCAACCACTTTTTTTCTTATTTTTTTTAAAAAAAATTTTAAGGGACCATAAACCACAAAAATAATAATGAAAATTGAATCTCTTAATGGAAGAGCAAAGAGTCTTATTAAATATAACAATGACTATTTGTTCTAATGTATTTATTTGTAATATATACAACTTAAATAACTTTTATAGTATATTATTAATTTTAAATTATATATTTAATAATATAATATCTATGTAGATATTACATATATTATTTTGTGATATCAATTGCAAGCATATTATATATGTACATATTATTTATATTTTTAATTTGTATTAATATACATGATGAATAAATCATTTTGTATAATGTTGATTATATATATATATATATATATATATATATGAGGAGGGATCTTTCACTTCAAGAGTAAGTCTACCTAAACTTATTCCATTTAATAACTCATGTTCTACTTCAAATTTCAACAATCCAACCGTTCAATTTAAAATTCTTAATGCATAGATCAAATCTGCAAGTTTTTAAAAAATTTGAAAATTATTTGATACTTCGTTTCATTAATTTGAATCAAGGTATAAAATGATTTTATGATTATCCGTCAATTTGAATTAATGAAACGAAGTATCAAATGATTTTTAAATTTTTTAAAAATTTTCGGATTTGATCTATGAATTAAGAACTTTAAATTCAACGGTTGAATCGTTAAAAAATTTGATATAAAACATGAGTTATTGAATGGAGCAAGTCTAAATAGACTTGCTTCTAGGGTAAAAGAATCTCTCATATATTATATATATATATACACTTCTCTCATAAAAGTATATTTATATCCCAAAAAATTCCAATAATCTTATTAATGATATTAGAGCCATTGATTGAATTTGATGACAACCAAAATTCATATATACAAAGACTAATAAAAATATAATTTAATATAAATTTTTTTATTAAAATTTAAAATAAGATATGAATTTATTAAAATTTATAAGTATAAAATATATTTAATATGAATATTTTTTTTTAATAAAAATTGAGGCATGCGGTTCAACTAGTGACCCACCGATTCAACCTTTGACCTACTGATTTAGTACCTTAACCGGTTCGATTACTAGTCTGGTTTTTAAAACTATGGTTGACACCTTAAATTATGAGATGCATCAATAAATATTGTTTCTGTTTAAACAATAAATATATTTTCTATTATATATTATTCAATTATATTATATATATTTTTATAAAATTTAATACTTTCATTTTATATATTTATTCGGTTAATCTTAGT